GAGACTTTCGCAAGGATGTAGGACAGGCTTGAGCGATTTAGCACTTGCGACTGATACGCAAAATAGAAGGCAGTGTCGAAGGTGCTAATTTTCCCGACTCTCGCTTTCACATTCAACTACGACTAAAACATCCACACAAAATTATTTCCCTGCAACCGAAGGCCGTCGGCTAAATACTCTAAAACTACGTGAAGTTTCCTATCAGATGATATCAAGCTTGCTAGCAAAACATTTCATCTTTGGAACGAAATTTCCGGTTGAAAAAAAACGAAAGTACTTATGTGCAACCCAATACAAACCCCTCTCGGCTTCCGCCCAGGCCAACCAAACCTTCTACCATCCGGGGACGGTAAATTAGTACCACCATTTGGGAGGATAAAAACGTGAGATTAGGGGCGCTGAATTAGACTTTCCTGAGCATCCGCAGAAACCCATAGACAACATCACTAGTATCTCGTGCTTACCTGCAAACAGAGAACAGCTTCCATTGTCATAGCATCGCAATGGCACCATGAAGACCATCTAAGCTAGCCCCCCCCCAAGCAACGTAGTTAAACCCCTAAAACCTATTACGAGTCCTCTTCACTATCAGAGGAAAAGGCCGACGGCCAGGTGAATGTGCTCTCATTGCTGTCAGTATTCCCAGGAGCACCATAACAAAAGGACGCCCCTTGTGTGAGCTTTTTACTGCTGGGATATTGCCTTTTATGATGAACTATGAGGGAGAAAGAACCAAAAACTGGTTGCATCTAAATCAGTAATAAGTTTTTTGCCAGACGTGATTTTGAACACGTGCAGACCAACGATTGATAATCGGCAATTTAGGCAGTCAGCTATCAAAATGAGGGTTCATACTACGTTTTCGAATTTTCTTGGTCATCACTGTTGAAATACTAAACAGCTTCATCTTTAGAGATAATCATGCTCACACACTTCAGAGTGCGTTCATACTTCACGTCAGCGCTTTGAGGGTCTCGAGCGTCTAGAAAGGTACAGGTATCAATCTAGCGCTCAAGCGTCTGCCAGCGTTTTGAGCGTCCACCGGCGTTTCGAGCGACTGCGAATGTATAGGTATCGATTATCGCTGAAAATGCTGGCGGACACTCAACTAGATTGGTACCCATACGTTCCTAGCCGCTCAAATCACCCAAAACGCTGGCAGTCGCTCAAAACGCTTGTATTTTCCTAGTCACTTGAAAAAGCTTGAAGCGCAAAGTATGAATACACTCTAATAGCGGCAATCGTCACTTCTAGCTATCTCCGTTAGCATCAACTCCAGGGTCCACTCTCGAAATGACTCCCGTCCAAGGCAGCGGTTGACAATAACTAGTACCAGCCCCGTCCGGAAGGAAAAAACATCGTCGTGTATTTCGACTGATTCGAGCTGAAATGGAACACTTACAACTAAAATGCGGGGGTCGCAAGAAGAGAGAAGTTAAAGAATTCTCCAAACCGTCGCGAATCTATAGCACCTGCATTGGCAATTAATTCTATGGGCCAGTACCATCTGAAGCACACTACGTCTCTGAATCGAAGTAGTACTGGCGGCATGCCCCGGTAGAGGACTGAACTACGCCGAGAGCTTTTTACGAGCATGAGACGCGGTTGATTGCGGCCAATTTGCGTTGTCGTGCGTGAAATGGTCCTTGACACAGAACTACGTTTGCCCTTATCTGCCGTGATCCACCTACCAGCTGCTTTCTTTTCTTTTTAGCGCACAAATCGGAAATAATTTCACTGTT